CACACACATACACACACCTACACACACACCTACACACACACACGCCTACACACACGCCTACACACACACCTACACACACACCTACACACACACATACACACACCTACACACACACCTACACACACACCTACACACACACCTACACACACATACACACACCTACACACACACATACACATACACACACCTACACACACACATACACACACCTACACACACACCTACACCTACACACACACCTACACACACACACCTACACACACACCCACACCTACACACACACACACCTACACACATACACACACACACACCTACACACATACGCACCTACACACACCTACACACATACAACAACAGCCGCCATTCGCCACTAAGTGGCGGTGACGTCACCACGACGCTTGTGCCAGGCCATGTGCACCTTGAGGCCACGTGGAGTGTCGAACGCCCGCGGGCAGGAGGTCACGGGGCAGACCCAGGTGCCACGGGTCGACTGACTGAGATGACTGGCTGGTGCACCACCTGTGCCCCCTACTGTGCCAACCTGCTCTGCTTTAGCCACCCGGCGCTCCGCTCGTTGTTGTGAGCGTCGCTCCTCCGCCCTCCGTTGTTGTTGGAGGGCAACTACCTCCAACTGCCCAGTAGCGTCCTTCACGAGCCTCCTCCACAGAGGCCGATCTTGACACCGCTGGTACCGATCATCGGCAAGTCCACTCAGCTCCACGTCCTCCTGTACCACATCACTCCATCTCTTCTCTAGCCCGTGCCGCGCCCGTCTAGCCCCCTCGATCCGGCCGAACAAAAGCTGTTTCGACATGCGGTGGCTGGGCATGCGGGCTACATGACCCAGCCATCGCAGCCTTGCCCGCCGGAGGAGGTCACCGATGGGACATTGCCCAGATCTTTCAAGGATTTGTGAGCCCCTCACACAATCCAGCCTGGTTAAACCCAGGATGGATCGTAGGCAGGCCAGCCTAAATGTTTCTAACCGGCGATGATGTTCTATTAGGGGGGTTCACGTTTCGCAAGCGTAGAGAAGAGAGGGAATGACCGTGGCCGAGAAGACCTGAAGCTTTGTGCGGAGCGACAGACCAGGCAGCTTCCACACAGCGTTACGCAACCGATGAAAAGATATTGCCGCTAAATACACACACCTACACCAGAGACAAAGATCCCCCGTATAGCCTTAACAGACTGTAGGGGCAAGTGCTGTTAGTGAGCACCTATGAAGGCCGGAACAGTACACGAGGGGGTGGGTGGCCAGCACCACGCCCGACCGCCTTAGTCTCCCCAGTGGCAATGTTTTTTATCCACCGCACCAGGTACTCATTTGAGGCTGAGTCGACCTAGGGGAGGCCCAGGACCGGTTCAGATAATCGTCACTGTGGTGTTGGCCGTGAGCAGAAATCGAACCCGGGTCGCCAGGTTCATAGCGCAGCGCGCTTACCGCTCCCCACACACACCTACACACACGCACACACAAACACCTACACACACCCACACACACGCACACAATCGATACACGGGTAGCTCATTGACACCAACGTGTAACGGAGTTTCCTCACCCATGGATTTTTCTCCGCCAGCCCTCCACGTTCATAAGCAACATCACGCGTTTAGAGTATTTGGCGTTTAGAGTATTTGGCGTTTAGAGTATTTGGCGTTTAGAGTATTTGGCGGATGTGAATTTCCACGAGATGATAAAAGCGGAGAACCTGGAGAAAAATCCACGCGACCACGGGGAGAGAGGGAGACACGCAAACTCCAAATATACAGCAGCAGGCGCCAGGGTCGGGATAGAACCCACGACCTCCTGTACACCAGGCGAGGTAGTTAAAATCTCATAGCCACCATGATGATGATGAGAGAGAGAGACACGCAGACTACAAATATACAGCAGCAGGCGTCGGGGTCGGGATAGAACCCACGACCTCCTGTGCACCAGGCGAGGTAGTTAACATCTCATAGCCACCATGATGATGTTGAGAGAGAGAGACACGCAGACTCCAAATATACAGCAGGTGTCAGGGTCGGGATCGAACCCACGACCTCCTGTGCACCGGGCGAGGTAGTTAACATCTCCTAACCACTTTGTGCGTCCTTTAATCAACGTGTTCCCCTCTCTGTCTCTCAGCGTAATAATCATCATCACCATGTTCTATCCACTGCTGCATATTGATCAATGTGATGATCTCCAGAGCTTTTGTGTGTTCTGTAATCCACGCATTCCTTGTGCCACCCCTCAGTAACTCCAAGCGTGCATTCAGCCGCTCTTCTTTGCGAACTTTTCAGATTTTCTTTCGTTTTATTAGCCGGGAATCAATCTCAGGATGGCCGGAATCGTAAGCGCAGCACGCTAACCACTGCGCCACCGCTCCCCCCTTTCTACACATAACACAAAAACCTCGCTGGCTATGTCAACAGCAGCAGTAGCAGCAACAGGAGTAGCACCAACAGCAGCAGTCGGAGCAGCAATAGCAGCAGCAACAGTAGCATCAGCAGTAGCAGCAACAGCAAAGCAATATAAACAGTAGCATCAGCAACGGCAATAGCAGCAGCAGCAGTAGCTGCAGCAATGCATAACACCAACATTAGCAGTAGCAACAGCGGTAACAATAGCAGCAGCAATAGCATCAGCAATCAATAACAACAATAGCATCAACAACAACAGACACAATATCAGCAGCAGCAGCAGCAACAAAAGCAATAGCAGCAGCAGTAGCAGCATCAACAGCATCAGCAATAGTAGTAGCAGAAATCGATAACACTAACAATAGCAGCAGCAATAGCATCAGCAATAGCAGTAGTAGCAGCATCAGCAATAGCAGCAGTAGCAGCATCAACAGCAGCAACAATAGCAGTTGTAGCAGCAGTAGCAGCATCAACAGCAGCAACAATAGCAGTTGTAGCAACAGTAGCAGCATCAACAGCAGCAACAATAGCAGTCGTCGCAGCATCAGCAGCAGCATCAATAGTCGTAGCAGCAATCGATAGCACCAACAACAGCAGCAACAGCAGCAATAGCACCAACAACAACAGCAGCATCAGCAGCAATAGCAGCAATAGCACCAGCAACACCAGCAATAGCACCAGCAACAGCAGCATCAGCAGCAATAGCAGCAATAGCACCAGCAACAGCAGCAATAGCAGCAATAGCACCAGCAACAGCAGCAATATCACCAGCAACAGCAGCAATAGCACCAGCAACACCAGCAATAGCACCAGCAACAGCAGCATCAGCACCAATAGCAGCAATAGCACCAGCAACAGCAGCAACAGCAGCAATAGCACCAGCAACAGCAGCAATAGCACCAGCAACAGCAGCAATAGCACCAGCAACAGCAGCAACAGCAGCAATAGCACCAGCAACAGCAGCAATAGCACCAGCAACAGCAGCAACAGCAGCAATAGCACCAGCAACAGCAGCAATAGCACCAGCAACAGCAGCAATAGCACCAGCAACAGCAGCAATAGCACCAGCAACAGCAGCAATAGCACCAGCAACAGCAGCAATAGCACCAGCAACAGCAGCAATAGCACCAGCAACAGCAGCAACAGCAACAATAGCACCAGCAACAGCAGCATCAGCAGCAATAGTACCAGCAACAGCAGAAATATCACCAGCAACAGCAGCAACAGCAGCAATAGCACCAATAGCAGCAATAACACCAGCAACAGCAGCATCAGCAGCAATAGCACCAGCAACAGCAGCAACAGCACCAGCAACAGCAGCAATAGCTGAGGGGAAGGGATGAGGGGGCAGGAACATAGCTGGTGAAGGGGGTGGGAGGAGCGCAGAGTAGGTGGCTGGGTGGTGGTGGTGGTGGCTGGGTGGTGGTGATGGTGGTGATGGTGGTTAGGTGGTGGTGGTGGTGGTGGCTGGGTGGTGGTGGTGGTGGTGGCTGGGTGGTGGTGGTGGTGGTGGTGGCTGGGTGGTGGTGGTGGCTGGGTGGTGGTGGCTGGGTGGTGGTGGTGGTGGTGATGGTGGTTGGGTGGTGGTGGTGGTGGCTGGGTGGTGGTGGTGGTGGCTGAGTGGTGGTGGTGGTGGTGGCTGGGTGGTGGTGGTGGTGGCTGGGTAGTGATGGTGGTGGTGGCTGGGTGGTGGTGGTGGCTGGGTGGTGGCTGGGTGTGGGGTTGTAAGGGAGAAGCGAAGAATGGTTGTGTGGTGGTGGTGGTGGTTGGAGGGAGGGAGTATTGAAGGGAGGGAGGGATGGCTGGGTGGGTGGGTGGAGGGTGGATGGCTGGGTGGGTGGAGGGTGGATGGCTGGGTGGGTGGAGGGTGGCTGGGTGGGTGGAGGGTGGCTGGGTGGGTGGAGGGTGGATGGGTGGGTGGAAGGTGGATGGGTGGGTGGAGGGTGGATGGGTGGGTGGAAGGTGGATGGGTGGGTGGAGGGTGGCTGGGTGGGTGGGTGGAGGGTGGCTGGGTGGGTGGATGGTGGATGGGAGGGTGGATGGGAGGGTGGATGGCTGGGAGGGAGGGTGTATAGCTGGGTGGGTGGAGGGTGGATGGGTGGGTGGAGGGTGGGAGGGTGGATGGTGGGTGGGATGGTGGATGGTGGGTGGGTGGGAGGGTGGATGGCTGGGAGGGAGAGAGGGTGGATGGTGGGTGGGTGGTGGGAGGAAGAGGAAGGGATGAAGCGAGGATTGGAGAGTGACTGTATGTCTGTATGGTGGTGGTGGTGGAAGGAGGAGGGAGGTGATGCAGGAGGGGAGAGTGGCTGGCTGGCTGGTGGTGGAAGGATCAGGGGAGAGAGAGGGAGGGAGAAGGGAGGAGTGTCTGGCTGCTGGTGGAAGGATGTGGAGGGAGGGGGTAGTGAGAGAGAGAGAGAGATGAATTAATGAATGGAGGGAGGGAGGGAGGAAGAGAGAGAGAGAAAGCATGGAATGGAAGGGGGGGAGGGAGGGAGAATGTGGCAGGCTAGATGGGTGGGTGGTGTTGCGGGTGATGGTGGTGGTGGTTGGTGGTGCTGGTGCTGGAAAGAGGAGGGGGTATGGGAGTGGATGGGAGGAGGAGGAGGAGGAGGAGTGAGCGCACTGAGATTTTTGTCGGTCAATCTCCAGACGAGAAGTGTTGAGTGAGTGGAGGGGGATTCCTTCTTTGTCAAATCATAAAGAGCGAAAGCGTTACAGCGACACACACACACACATACAGCTCTCCACTGCTGTTGTGTGCGTGTCTTTCCACAACAGCCACCCGTAACACACAGAATATTGTTCAGTACTAAAGACCACACACACACACACACGCGCGCGCGGGCGAGCGCGCGCGCTGGTGGTGGTGTGTTGTGTGTGTTGATTTCTGGGCTGTCACCATCATCACTGTCACCACCACCACCATCATCATCATCAAGATCATCGTCGTCAATACACCACTCCAGGGAGTTGTCCGCACATCTTCGGCTGACATCCGAGACGGGAAATTCGAAAGCCAGAGGAGAAGAAGAAAGAGGCTAACACCTCGTGGAAAAAGGAAAACACCCCCCCCCCCCCCCGCAAGAAAACGGAGTGAAAAATACCCAACCGTGAATGTGCGTATATCTTCATTTCTCTGTGATCGTGATTATGATGATGATGATCGTCTGTTATTTTACGCACGCTATAGCGAGAGACGTTCTACGTGGTGTGTTGCTGTGTTGTGGTTGTTGCTGTTGTTGTGGTTGATCGCAGGATAACAAACAATGTGACAGGGATAGCGAGGCGTGGTGGCTGCCAAAACTGCGTTCACTCAGCGGTCAATGCAGTCTATGATACAGTCTATAATTCAGTCTATGATAGAGTCTATGATACAGTCTAGAATTCAGTGTAGAATTCAGTCTATGATTAAGTCTGTGGCCGTGTAACACACACACACACGGAGTGTATGCGTTACATACTACATGTGCAGTTGTGTACATGTGTAATATAATAATCCGTTTTTTGTGCGTGTGTAGATTCGTTACATGGGTATTGTGGTGTACGTGCAATGTGTGTTGTGTTGTACATGTATATTAATGTGTAGTACATGTGTGAATGTAGTACATGTATGTACATGGTACATGTGTATTAGTGTGCAGTACATGTACTATATGTGTACATGTAGTACATGTGTAGTACATGTGTCAATGTATTACAGAGGTCATGTGTATTAGTGTGTAGTGTATGTAGTATATGTATACATGTAGTACATGCATGAATGTAGTACATGTGTGAATGTAGTACATGTGTGAATGTAGTACATGTATGTACATGGTACATGTATATTAATGTGTAGTACATGTGTGAATGTAGTACATGTATTAGGTAGTACATGTGAATTATGTTGTATGTTTACTGTGTACATGCAGTACATGTGTAGCACATGCGTCGTACATGTGTATTATGTTGTATATTTACTATGTATACATGTGTAGCACATGTGTAGCACATGCGCCGTACGTGTGTATCATGTTGTATATTTACTATGTGTACATGCAGCACATGTGTAGCACATGCGTCGTACGTGTGTAGTATGTTGTATATTTACTATGTATACATGTGTAGCACATGTGTAGCACATGCGTCGTACGTGTGTATCATGTTGTTTATTTACTATGTGTACATGTCGCACATGTGTAGCACTTGCGTCGTACATGTGTATTATGTTGTATATTTACGATGCATACATGTAGAACATGTGTAGCACATGCGTTGTACATGTGCATCATGTTGTATATTTACTATGTGCATGTAGGACATGTATAGCACATGCGTAGTACACGTGTATCATTGTGTAGTACGTGCGGTGTATTATTGTGGCCCGTGTACACATGTACAGCACGCATGAGTAAATATTACATGTGGTACATGTCCGTTGTATGTTACATGTACAGTGCATGCAAATAGCCAATGTGTCAATCCACTGCTGGATGAGGTTCTTGCCCCAAACCGTTGTTGCGATGTGAGATTCCCGTTCATGGCCACCACCAATACCACCAGGGGACGATTATCTGAACCGGTGCTGGGCCTCCCCTAGGTCGACTCGGCCTCAAATCAGTTACCTGGTGCGGTGTGTAGTAAACATCGCCACTGGGGGAGACAAAGGCGGCCGGGCGTGGTGCTGGCCACCCACCCCCTCGTGTGCCACAGTGCCGGCCTTCAATAGGTGCTGCTACTCGCTAACAACACTTGCCCCAACAGTCTGTTACAGGCTACACGGGGGATCTTTATCTTTGTGTGTGCTAGCTAACAACACTTGCCCCAACAGTCTGTTACAGGCTACACGGGGGATCTTTGTCTTTGTGTGCTAGCTAACAGCACTTGCCCCAACAGTCTGTTACAGGCTACACGGGGGATCTTTATCTTTGCGTACTAGCTATCAGCACTTGCCCCAACAGTCTGTTACAGGCTACACGGGGGATCTTTATCTGTGCGTGCTAGCTAACAGCACTTGCCCCAACAGTCTGTTACAGGCTACAAGGGGGATCTTTATCTGTGTGTGCTAGCTAACAACACTTGCCCCAACAGTCTGTTACAGGCTACAAGGGGGATCTTTATCTGTGTGTGCCAGCTAACAGCACTTGCCCCAACAGTCTATTACAGGCTACACGGGGGATCTTTATCTGTGTACTCGCGAACAGCACTTGCCCCAACAGTCTGTTACAGGCTACACGGGGGATCTTTATCTGTGTGTGCTAGCTAACAACACTTGCCCCAACAGTCTGTTACAGGCTACACGGGGGATCTTTATCTGTGTGTGCTAGCTAACAACACTTGCCCCAACAGTCTATTACAGGCTACACGGGGGATCTTTATCTGTGTGTACTAGATATCAGCACTTGCCCCAATACTCTGTTACAGGCTACACGGGGGATCTTTATCTGTGTGTGTTAGCTAACAACACTTGCCCCAATACTCTGTTACAGGCTACACGGGGGATCTTTATCTGTGTGTGCTAGCTAACAACACTTGCCCCAACAGTCTGTTACAGGCTGCACGTGGGATATTTATCTGTGTGTGCTAGCTCACAACACTTGCCCCAATACTCTGTTACAGACTACACGGGGGATCTTTATCTGTGTGTGCTAGCTAACAGCACTTGCCCCAACAGTCTGTTACAGGCTACACGGGAGATCTTTGTCTTTGTGTGCTAGCTAACAGCACTTGCCCCAACAGTCTGTTACAGGCTACACGGGGGATCTTTGTCTTTGTGTACTAGCTATCAGCACTTGCCCCAATAATCTGTTACAGGCTACACGGAGGATCTTTATCTGTGCGTGCTAGCTAACAGCACTTGCCCCAACAGTCTGTTACAGGCTACACGGGGGATCTGTATCTTTGTGTACTAGCTAACAGCACTTGCCCCAACAGTCTGTTACAGGCTACACGGGGGATCTTTATCTGTGTGTGTGCTAGCCAACAGCACTTGCCCCAACAGTCTCTACAGACTACACAGGGGATCTTTATCTGTGTGTGTGCTAGCTAACAGCACTTGCCCCAACATTCTATGAGAGGCTACACGGGGGATCTTTATCCGTGTGTGTGCTAGCTAACAGCACTTGCCCCAACATTCTATTAAAGGCTACACGGGGGACCTTTGTCTTTGCGTGCCTGCATGTACACTGTACACTACAAGTCAGCGTGACCACTGTAGACTAACACTTTGCGTCCAGTACAATTGTAACAATTGTTACAATCGTTACAATTGCAACGATTTTAACAATCGATAATCACGCCAACAATGCAGCTGCACACAACGTTGACCGCTTCGTGTGTGTGCGTGTGAGCGGTGGTGCAGCGGTTAGCGCTACGCTGCGCTACGAACCTGGCGACCCCGGGTTCGATTCCCGCTCACGGCCAACACCAGCGACAATTATCTGAACCGGTCCTGGGCCTCCCCTAGGTCGACTCAGCCTGAAATGAGTACCTGGTGCGGTGTGTCAACATCGCCGCTGGGGGAGACAAAGGCGGTCGGGCGTGGTGCTGGCCACCCCACCCCCTCGTGTACCGTGCCGGCCTTCATAGGTGCTACTCGCTAACAGCACTTGCCCCAAACAGTCTGTTAAGGCTATACGGGGGATCTTTGTCTTTATCTGTTCATATCCGATCCCCATATCCTCTTCTTGTTCATATGCTGATAAGTGTCAAATCATTGCGGCTCGGGTGATTGGACGTCATACTTTATCAGTGATGATTGTTGATATTCTACAAAGGCGTATCACTGCCCGTGTGTGTTGCTGTTGTTGTTGATCTATAAAACACAAGATTCGTAACGTTATATATACATGAGCGTCTTTAAGTGTGTGTGTGTATTATTATAGCAAACACAAAAAGTTAAAAGTTCACGTGATTGTTCTTCTTTGGTTCTTTCGGTAAAGTCACCACGTAGAATGAGAATAAAATAATAAATTGATAAAATAAAATAACGCAATAATATTCTCGCGACGTTTCGGCCACAACACAAGCGGAGGACAGTCTCGTCCCTTCACCTGATGAAGGCCGCTTGTGTTGTGGCCGAAACGTCGTGAAAATATAATTGTGTTATTTTATTCTCATTCTACGTGGTGACTTTACCGAAAGAACCAAAGAAGATGAATCCTTGCAGTCACGAAAGCTTTAAATCGAAATTTTACGTGATTGTGTTGACCGTAGCAAAGCGTTATTGTTGTTGTTGTTTGCGCTAAAGCAGATTGACCAGGCTGGTGAAGTATGGCCAAACATAGCACACACACGTGTGTGTGTCACATAGCGTGGGGGGGAATGCCTCTCATCCAGCAGTGGATCGGTAACGCAGTGCACGTGTTTAGTTACTACCAAGTATACCACAGTATAATATACCCAGTGTGTGACATGTGTACACGGCATCGTCTGTTGATGTTGTGTACACACGAGGCGTGAATTATGTAATGGAGACTGTGTCCGCACGTAACGCGGTCTAGCTGTAATAGTTGATATTGTGTAACGGGAGAATGCGGCGTTACGGTTACACAATTTGCTGCGTAAGTTACTCTGAAGTTATGCCACGTCATAATATAGACTTACACTCCTGTAACACATGCTGTGTTACACTTACGCTCCTGTAACACATGCATTCTTGGATTCACCACGCCCGGCCGCCTTTGTCTCCCCCAGTGGCGATCTTCACACACCACAACAGCAATTACTCGTTTGAGGCTGAGTCGACCTAGGGGAGGCCCAGGACCGGTTCAAATAATCGTGACTGTGGTGTTGGCCGTGAGCGGGAATCGAACCCGGGTCGCCGGGTTCATAGCGCAGCGCGCTAACCGCTACACTACCGCTCACGCACACTCACACACATACACACACATACACACACATACACACATATACACACGGCACGACACTTGTATATGCACAAATGACAAAGATCTCCGTCGCGTAGCCTCAACAGACTTGGCCTACAGCAGAGAGACAGCGGGCGTCTTCATGGCCCCGTCCTCACCACCAGTGTGAGACCAGAGAACAAAGCCGCAAAAGACGAACAGCACAAGGGCAATGCCATACACGTGTCGGAGCGTTTGTAGCTCGCTGTGTGAGCAAGCAGCTACATCGTTGGATACCTTTCTTGCAAGGCTGTAATTATGGTACAGTAAAACCTTGGATTGCGAGCATTATTCGTTCCGGAAACGTGTTTGTAATCCAAAGCGCTCGTATATCAAAGCAACTCGTATATCAGTTGTGATCACGTGACGCTCGGCACTACAAAGCGTCCACACGTACTACTACTCGTATTGCAAGACCCTCGCTCGTTTATCAAATTAATATTTATTTTAAAAAAATTTGCTCGTCTTGCAAAACACTCGCAGACCAAGTTACTCGCAATCCAAGGTTTTACTTTATATATTGGGGGGGGGGGGGAGAGACATGCTCAAAATGCCCCCCCCCCCCAATATATTGCTATAAAATAGATTTCTGTTAGTATGATTGTGGTTATGGTTGTACTTTATTAATCCCTAACCTCTGCCATTACATACAATGAAACAAGAAAAGGTATAAAAGAAAAAAAACAGAGCAATGTAATACAATATACACTATTAGACATTGTTGTAAACAATAAATAAAAAGTCCATTCCACGTATTAGTGAATTTTTTTGGAATATTTTAGGCAGGAAATGGCAGGGAATTCGTTTTCAAATTTAGATTTTTTTTCTGGGGCGGGGGGGGGGGGACCCCCAGACCCCCTGGAACATTCGGTCCCCCCTCCCCCAATGTTGACTCCATGGCTTCGGCCTTGCTTTCTTGCCAGTATCAAAGGATGGCAGCGGGGGTATGAGACGCGGGCATGATTCACCGCGAAAGGTTTCTTATTTGGCGTTTGAAAATCTGAACACAACGCCTGTTCAATTGCCAGAAGGGGTGAAAACTATTCGTACTTGCTCTTTGTTTTTTTTTTCGGTAAAGTCACGTGGGTAAAATAAAACAATTAAATTAAATCACGACGTTTCGGAGGCAACGCAAGCGTCCGTCTTCAGGTGGAAAACAGTCACAGCAGAAAAGCTGTAGCAAGGTGCCTTCTTTTATTTTATTTTACCTACGTGACTCTCCCGAAAAAAACAAAGAGTATGAATCCTTGCCGTCACGAAAGCTTCAAATATATTCTTACTTTTTAGATACACGCCTATTGCAGTGCCGGATTATTCTAGTAGCAAAAGTAGCTACTACATATATATAGTAGCTACATATGTAGTAGCTAGCTACGGGCCCCGCACTTTCAAGGGCCCCGCGCTAAACGCTTTCAAGCAATCAATTCCGGTTCAGTGATTCTGCATTTGCTCTATTACTATAGTACTATACCGCCCTCAATTTTTACGGAAGACCGGGTGTTTAAGGTTAGCGATTTGTCGTATTATCTGGGCTGTATAGCAAATGAAAAAAATACAATTGATTTACTATGCAAGTAAAAATTTTGTTTTTTAATATTTGTGTGTTTTGTTTTTAACTGGGCCCCTTCATAACATCATATGTTATTTAGCTTCACCCGGCACTAGCCTATTATAAGGAACGCCGCGTCTGTCTGCTTGTGTTAAAAGGCCAATCGGTTTGCAAAGGCCATGCATAGTATTGTCAGAGCGTGTTTCATAATCTATAATAAAATCAGAAGTTTGTATTTATAATGCAGGAAATCCGATGGGCTATTCGGCTCTTTGTTAACACGTGTCCAATAGAATCAGAAGTAATTATTTATCATGGAGGAAACCCGATGAGCTGTAAACCTCTTTGTGAACACGTGGTCCCAATAAAATCAGAAGTATTTTTTTACTGGAGGAAACCCGATGAGCTGTGAAGCTCTTTGTTCACGCATGTCCCAGTAGTGGGCACGGGGGTAAGAACGTTACAACAAACGCAATACAACACAAACACGACAGCTGTGCAAAGTGCAATGAAGTTAAACAAATCGCCCAACAAAAATACGACACTAAATAAAGAATTCAAGCTTTCGTGACTGCATAAATTACTCAATACCAAAACTAAACCATCCCCACCCGAACCAAGCAAAGGCCGCCGAGGCATAAGCTTCTTGTTGTTCAAAAGCGACCTTGCCACCGCAGGTGACAGCTCAAATCAAGTGGCCTTATCGTTTGTGCACTCATCGCGAGCGAAGCATTATAGAATGGTCTAAAACGCGTGTTTCTAAATGTGTAGCGGCGATGAATAGTAATAATGATTGCGTGTCGTTAAGACCCGCCAACACCCTACACAGCGAGGAGGTTTGTGTCACGTAAACGACACGCGCCAATATTTGACTAATCGGTTCAGCACTAGCCGGTTGCATGTTGCAGAACTAAACCCAGCGCAACGTTCACGATTCGTTATCATCGCCGGGTGACGATGACAACAACAACATCAACAACATCAACAACCAGCTTCGTCAGGCAATTTAGCCGGAATTGTCTTCTATGTATCACATTTAAAAGTACCTTAAAGAGCACGTGTGTGTGCACGTTCTTTTTTTTATTGTTGCCACGAGTATTTGATGGTGAATACAGATGTGATGATGCCCTGTCTGCGTGTGTGTGTAGTTGTGGGTGTTTGAACGTCGGAAACACAACTCCCTCGGAGTTATTGCCAGGGGGAAACGGGTTAAAAGGCAGCCAATTTTTATTATTTGTTAATGTCGCCTTGTACTAAATTGGTGCGTGTCTGTGTGTGTGGGGGTGTTTGAACGTCTATAACACAAAGGCAGCAGCCTATTGTTGTTATTTGGGTTTTTTCTTCATCATTGTGATAGTTGGCAAACACAAAAGTTCAACATTCACCTCGTTGCCGCACAGGGACAGCTGCCACTGGGGGTTGGTGCTCCCCCCTTTTGGAATGCCAATTTTCGGCCACCGTTCGCTCAACGTTCGGCCAACGTTCGGCCAACGTTCGGTCAATGTTCGGTCAGTGTTCGGCCAACGTTTGGCCAACGTTCACTCAACGTTCGGTCAACGTTCGGTCAACGTTCGCTCAACGTTCGACCAACGTTCGGCCAACGTTCGGTCAACGTTCGGCCAACGTTTTGCCAACATTCAGTCAACGTTCAGTCAACGTTCGGCCAACGTTCGGCCAATGTTCGGCCAACGTTCGAACAATTGCCAAGCGGTGTTGTTACATTTGTGTACGTGTATAGGTTTGTATACGCGCTTGAATATATTTCGGCCCAGGACCGGTGCAGATGATCGTCACTGGTGGTATTAATGGCCGTGAGCGGGAATCGAACCCGGATCGCCGGGTTCACAGCGCGGCACTAACCGCTGCGCCACCGCTCCCTACATACGTACACACACGTGTACACACACGTGTACACACACACACGTGTGCACACACGTATACACACACACGTGTTGCACGCATTGCTTAATGGATGGACTCCACTCACGAAGGCACACGCGTGTGTACATGCACAATACATGTGCGTTACACGCTACAACGTAATTCGGTAATACGTAGCACACATGCCCTATGCGTACACACTTAATGGTACACGGGGTGTACAGACACTCACAAGCACTGCAGTACACACTCCTATGCAATGCAATGTCTAGTACACGTACACAGCGGTACACAAGCGCGTGTCTCCGCGTGTACTCACCGACATGTGTACACGTGCGTGTCCCCGCGCACGTGCGCACATGCCGACAGTCATGTACACGCCGACACGTGCACGTGTCCCCCTCCGCGTGTACGCGCAGGCTAGTGGGAGGAGGAGGGGGAGCAGGAGGGAGGCGGAGATGGACGACCCCACTCGGATGATGCAGGGCCACCCGGGCCTGGCGCTGAGCGCCCACACTGCGCCCATGGGCCTGCACACGCACGGCGGGGACGAGGTGGACGGCCGCGGCAAGCACGACATCGGTGACATCCTGCAGCAGATCATGACCATCACCGACCAGAGCCTTGACGAGGCGCAAGCCAGGTACGTGCGCGCACGTTACGGGACACGCGCGTGCGTGCGTGCGTACGTACGGTGCGCACGCACGCGCGTGTTTGTGTACACACATGTTCCGTACGCGCGCATACGCTAAAACGAACAAAAATCGTTTGGACGCGTTTTTGATTTGTTTTTTGCCCAGGTGTTAAAGTACCAAGTGTAAGGCCCCAAGTGTTAAAGTCCCAGGTGTAAGGCCCCAAGTGTAAGGCCCCAAGTGTAAGGCCCCAGGTGTAAGGCCCCAAGTGTAAGGCCCCAAGTGTAAGGCCCCAAGTGTAAGGCCCCAGGTATAAGGCCCCAAGTGTAAGGCCCCAGGTGTAAGGCCCCAAGTGTAAGGCCCCAGGTGTAAGGCCCCAAGTGTAAGGCCCCAAGTGTAAGGCCCCAGGTGTAAGGCCCCAAGTGTAAGGCCCCAAGTGTAAGGCCCCAAGTGTAAGGCCCCAGGTATAAGGCCCCAAGTGTAAGGCCCCAGGTGTAAGGCCCCAAGTGTAAGGCCCCAAGTGTAAGGCCCCAGGTGTAAGGCCCCAAGTGTAAGGCCCCAAGTGTAGGACCCAGGTGTACGGCCCCAAGTGTAAGGCCCCAAGTGTAAGGCCCCAGGTATAAGCCCCCAAGTGTAAGGCCCCAGGTATAAGGCCCCAGGTGTAAGGCCCCAGGTATAAGGCCCCAAGTGTAAGGCCCCAAGTGTAAGGCCCCAAGTGTAAGGCCCCAAGTGTTAGAGTCCCAAGTGTAAGGCCCCAGGTATAAGGCCCCAGGTGTAAGGCCCCAGGTATAAGGCCCCAGGTATAAGGCCCCAAGTGTAAGGCCCCAAGTGTAAGGCCCCAAGTGTTAGAGTCCCAAGTGTAAGGCCCCAGGTATAAGGCCCCAGGTGTAAGGCCCCAGGTATAAGGCCCCAAGTGTAAGGCCCCAAGTGTAAGCGCCACTGTGGCTATGAGATGTTAACTACCTCGCCTGGTGTACAGGAGGTCGTGGTTTCTATCCTGACCCTGACACCAGCTGCTGTACATTTGGAGTTTGCGCGTCTCTCCGTGTGGTGGCGTGGATTTTTCTCCGGGTCTTCCGGTTTTTCCCAAATACACAGCAGCAGGCATCAGGGTCGAGATCGAACCCACGACCTCCTTGCATACGAGGAGAGGTAGTTAACATCTTACCACGGGGAGGGAAAGAGGGAGACGAAAACTCCAAATATACGTCAGGCGTTGGGGTCGGAATCAAACCCACGAGCTCCTGCATACCTGGCAAGGGAGTTAACATCTCTCAGCCACCGCTGCGCATACGCACACGTATGTGCGTGTGTGCGGGGGGTGGGGAGGGGGGAGCGGTCAGGCGTGGAGCTAGACCAACCCCACACCCTCGTGTGCCGTGCCGGCCTTCACAGGTGCACCTCGCTGACAGCACTTGCCCCCTCCCCCAAACAGTCTGTGCGGGGGATCTTTGTCTTTTGGGCATGTATGTATGTATGTATGCGCGCGCGCGCTAATGGACGCGCCCAAAGGCCTGTTGTCGTCGTCGCTAATTTTTGCCGATGCCGCTTCGCTGTGTTACACCGCAGAAAGCACGGATTAAACTGCCATCGGATGAAGCCGGCGCTCTTCAGCGTCCTCTGCGAAATAAAGGAGAAAACAGGTACCTCGCGTGCACTCGGCTCCACGCCCGCCGCGCTTGTGCGTGGTTGGCTACTGCAGAAGAAGTTCAGCTTACAGTGTGTACGTACGAGCGGAAGCATTTGTTCCTGGGTTTAATTCTGACTTTCCCGGGAGTTTAAATCTGACTGACTTTCCCCGGGAGTTTAAATCTGACTTTCCCCTGGAGTTTAAATCTCACTTTCCTGGGTTCTAATTTTGACTCTCCTGGCTTTGAATCTGACTTTCCTGGGTCTCGTCCTGAAGACGCCTGACGCAGCTTCAAGTGGAACGTCGTAGCTTCCTCTGCGACGTTTCCGCCGTGTGGCAACCCCCAGCTTGATCTGAAATGCCGTGAAGGGGATCTGGGGTTTCTCGCGTGAAAAATAAGGATCGGAACGAACCCTTTCGGCCAATAAAATAGGATTTGTGCGCAGATGGCAAAAAGGTATCCCATATGATAGAGCTGACACGTGTGTGGCATTGTCGTTGTGCTGTTCGCCTTGTGGCGTTGTTCTCCGATCCGACACTGCTGGTGAGGCTAGCCCATGAGGAAGGCCGCTGCTGACTCTGGTGCAGGACAATCAGCTTCAAACGCAATGCCATATACAATAAAACCTTGGATTGCGAGTAACTTGGTCTGCGAGTGTTTTGCAAGACGAGCAAACTGTTTAAATAAATTTTAATTTGATAAACGAGCGAGGGTCTTGCAATATGAGCAGTGTACGTGTAGACGCTTTGTCTGCAGAGCGTCACGTGACCACAACTGATATACGAGTGCTTTGGATTACAAACACGTTTCCGGAACGAATCATGCTCACAATCCAAGGTTTTACTGTATTATCAGAACCATGTTTTGCGTGTTACCCGTAAGCACTGTGTGTGGCTAATGTAGTAACTTGATTCCTTGCAAAAGGAATATATTTGGTGTTGAAACACCGTAACACAACTCCTGTTGCATTGCCAGAAAGGGGACACACCCTATTATGATTCACGTCATGGCAGATCTATGGGGTCTCTGTGTGAACCTGTGGGTCTCTGTGTGAACCTGTGGGTCTCTTTGTGAATCTGTGGGTCTCTTTGTGAATCTGTGGGTGTCTGTGTGAACCTGTGGGTCTCTGTGTGAACTTGTGGGTCTCTATGTGAAGCTGTGGGTATCTGTGTGAACCTGTAGGTCTCTGTGGGAACCTGTGGGTCTCTTTGTGAACTTGTGGGTCTCTGTGTGAACCTGTGGGTCTCTGTGTGAACCTGTAGGTCTCTGTGTGAAGCAGTGGGTCTCTGTGTGAACCTATGGGTCTCTGTGTGAACCTGTGGGTCTCTGTGTGAACCTGTAGGTCTCTGTGTGAAGCTGTAGGTCTCTGTGTGAAGCTTTGGGTCTCTCTCTGAGTGAGTCTGTGAAGGGAATTTCAACAGGACTTGCATCTCTGTTTTATTGACCTGGTCAAGGCCTACGATACCATCAATCGGCCAGGGCTCTGGGTTGTTCTTCGTGCTTTCGGAATCCTAGACCCCATGTTCACAATCATTAAAAACACTCATGATGGTGGGCAGGCCCTGGATAAAGCTACGTGGCCAGGAGTCGGAGCCATTCCCTGTTCACCTTGGGGTGCAACGGGGATGTCCTCTAACCCTTACGCTATTTACCATTTTCTTTTACCACGTAGTTCGAGAAGCTTTCCATGGATGTAATCTACAACAGATACAATGGGAGGTTGATCGGTTCTCGGGTGCAGTCGTGGGATGGCTCGCTGTTGGTTAACCACGTTATTTATGCCGATGATCTGGTGTTTGCCGCCCACTCTGAGGATGAGTTGGAGGCGCTGCTACGGAGCCTGGAGCGTTCTACAAAGAGGTGGAGTCTTACCATCAGCCCCAGATAAAACTAAGCAACTGCCCACGAGTGATGAGGCAGTTGTGGAAAGAGTGTAGACGATTCCGTACCTGGACAGTGTGCTCATGGCCGGCCCTGATTTGGCAGCCAAGGTCTCACTCAGAATCAGCCGTGCGGCATTATCTTTTCATCAGCTGCCAATGCTGTGTGCAAGCTACCTGTTCCGTCGCTCCACACGAACCTTCGAGTCTTCTCGACCACAGTTGTGCCCTCCCGTATCCATGCTTGCAAAACGTTGAGCCCACTAAAAGAATAACATCTGCGCTGGTTGGAAACATTCAGGCTAGCCTTGCCTACGATCCTTCCTGGGCTTAACCAGGCTGGATTGTGTGAGGAGCTCACAAATCCTCCGTGAGCTCCTCTGGCAGGCAAGGCTGCATTGGCTGGGTCATGTAGCCCACATGTCCAGCCACAGAATGCTCAAACAGCTTCTGTTTGGCCAGATAGACGGGGGATAAACGGGCATGACATGGGCTGGAGTGGAGATGGAGTGATTTGGTCCAGGAGGAGGTGGAACTGAGTGGTCTGGCCAAACACTGAAACCAGTGGTGTCAAGATCGGCCTCTATGGAGCGACCCTCACAACAACGAGCGGATCGCCGGGCAGCTAAAACTCAGCAAGTTGGCATAGTAGGGAGCACAGGTGGTGGTGCATCTGCCAAGTCATCGCAGTCAGTGAACCCATGGCACCTGCTGGGTCTGTCCCGTGACCTCCTGTCAGCGAGCCTTCGACACTTCACGTGGCCTCAAAGTGCACCTGGCCTGGCACGGGCGCCGTGGTGACGTCACCGCCACTTAGTGGCAAATGGCGGCTGTTGTTAGTGTTTACGTGCGTAGGTGTGTGTGTGTCAGTATATGTGGGGAGCGGTAGTGTAGTGGTTAGCGCTGTGCTACGCTACGAACCCGGCAATCCGAGTTTGATTCCCACTCACGGCCAACACCAGTGACGATTGTCTGAACCGGTCCTGGGCCTCCCCTAGGTCGACTCAGCCTCAAATGAGCACCTGGTGCGGTGTGTAGTAGTAAACATCGCCACTGAGGAGACAAAGGCGATCGGGCGTGGTGCTGGCCACCCACCCCCTCATGTGCCGTGCCGGCCTTCATAGATGCTACCCGCTAACAGCACTTGCCCCAACAATCCGTTGAGGCTACACGGGGGATATTTGCCTCTGTGTCGGTATATGAGTCTACACGTGCTACACGCGGCAGCACGTTAACATAAATGATGCCTCTCGACTGACACAACAGGGATATTGGGACGTCCGTCATGCGCAGCGTGTCCGTGCGTACTCATCGAAACGTGCCTCGCCCCGTACACGCGTTGGACCTCTTTCGAAACCGTACAGAGAACAGCCGTGCCAACCGGTGGTGCCTCGACTGTTTGACGAACAAGCTGCGCCTTACAATTCAATAACAACAACAACAACAATTCATCGTAGAGTACATGGCGTTCCGCCACTCGTACTGCTGGACGTGGCGAAGGCCCGCTGCCGATTGCTTCGACACGTGGTGCCGGTTGTGCGTCGGTCGCCCTCCATCGCCGACGACACCACGTTGACCGGCACGGTGAAGTATGGTCGAATCACCCAGCATGCCCCCGCCGCCCCAGCAGCGGGTTGGCAAAGGGCCGTACATTTTTAAGGTTCCCGCTGCGGTGTAAATTCACATTACTCGATAACGTAGCCTGTCACATCACATATATATGATGTGTGTGTGTGTAGACACCGCGCACAATATTTATGTAAGCAAGGCAACGTAAACTGGCCGTGCTGCTGTTACGCATGAGTAACTGTGTGTGGGTATGGTCAGACTTTTATTTTATCAAATCCATCTTTGCATTTATGACCGCACGTTGAACTTCTTTCGCGCCGTACGTAGACAACCGTGCTAAACGGAGGTGCAGTGTTGAGTCTATGGGTAGTGTTGAGTCTATGGGCAGTGTTGAGTCTATGGGTAGTGTTGAGTCTATGGGCAGTGTTGAGTCTATGGGCAGTGTTGAGTCTATGGGTAATTGTGTCTATGGGCAGTGTTGAGTCTATGGGTTGTGTTGTATCTATGTGCAGTGTTGTGTCCAGGTGCAGTGTTGTGTCTATGGACAGTGTTGAGTCTTTGGGCAGTGTTGAATCTATTGGCAGTGTTGTGTCTATGAGTAGTGTTAGTCTATGTGCAGTGTTGTGTCTATGGACAGTGTTGTGTCTATGGACAGTGTTGAGTCTATGGGCAGTGCTGTGTCTATGGGTAGTTGTGTCTATGTGCAGTGTTGTGTCTATGTGCAGTGTTGTGTCTATGGACAGTGTTTTGTCTATGTGCAGTGTGAGTCTATGGGCAGTGTTAGTCTATGGGCAGTGTTAGTCTATGGGCAGTGTTAGTCTATGGGCAGTGTGAGTCTATGGGCAGTGTTAGTCTATGGGCAGTGTGAGTCTATGGGCAGTGTGAGTCTATGGGCAGTGTGTATGTATGTTGAACTTCTTTCGCACTGTACGTAGTAAGCCGTGCTAATCGGCGGTGCTTGTAAATGAGTAGCTGGTATCGATTAAATTAGCGGTTTCGATAAAGACACATTTTTTTGGAGCGATTCCCGGCACGGCTGGCGATCATCCCATTCCCGTGTGCGTCTCATGGCGCGCGTGCGTGTGCGCGTCTGTTGGCACAGTAGGGAGCGCAGATGGCTGGGTCATGTAGCCCGCATGCCCAGCCACCGCATGCCTAAACAGCTTTTGTTCGGCCGGATAGAGGGTGATAAATGGGCCCGGCTCGGCCTAGAGAAGAGATGGAGTGACGTGGTACAGGAGGACGTGGAGCCGAGTGGACTTTGCCGATGTCCGGTACCAGCGGTGTCAAGATCGGCCTCTGTGGAGGAGGCTCGTGAAGGACGCTGCTGGGCAGTTGGAGGTAGTCGCCCTCCAACAACAACCGAGGGCGGAGGAGCGACGCTCACAACAACGAGCGGAGCGCCGGGTGGCTAAAACACAGCAGGTTGGCACAGTAGGGGGGGCACAGGTGGTGCATCGGCCACTCATCTCAATCATCTCGGTTTAGTCGACCCGTGGCACCTGCTGGTTCTGCCCCGTGACCTCCTGCCACTTTCACGTGGCCTCAACGCGCACCTAGCCT